TGCAGTCTGAAATAATCTATGCTCAAATTTACAAAATCAGAAATAGTTTTGATAGATTGACAAATTTGTAATGTGCTTGATGTATATAGCTTTATTTGATTATTGGTAAAGTCATCTATGTCATCATTACAGCCCTTCAAACGTCCACTGCTGAATGTAGGCCTACTCTACTACTCTACTACCACAAAATACGGTTGACTTATTGCGTGACATAATCAGCCCGATCAGTAAATTAAAGTGGCAATTGGACTGACTCGTAGGACCAAAAGCCGATAGAAAAGAAAGGTTCCCGAAAGGCAGCCTCATAACGGTAAGCGGAGTGTAGGTTGGACTAGATGGAGTGAAGATCAGGTAAGACCTATGTCTCACCAGTTCATTTGAAGTAAATTTAGTTAAATTATTTAATGTCTGTATTACACAAAATGTTTATGGAAGTAAGTTAATTTCCTATGTAGATATCTTGTGGGGATAAAGTATATATCTTATGGTATGGAGAACAAATATAATTATAGGCTATAAATCATTCCATCTTAGCCCTCAGAAGTGACAATCTGTAGGCTTCTTTGTATGAAGGTACTACAGTAGCCACCTACCACCTGATGTACTGTAAGTGCGTTTGTCACTTAAAAAAAAAACGTACTTTTTAGAGGACACGTATAAACCTACCTACGTGAAGAGCGTTCGATATACCCTAGACATGGAGAAGAGTGACGTCATCACGTCGGCGTGCAGTCTGCGGAGTAAACTGTGGCGTCTTACACTCAGCATACAATATAAAAGAGCTCGTGCTTGCTATGAACACCGAACGCCTCACGCCGCTGCAGGCTGGCTAATTAGTTTTTACATTTAAGTAATTTTTATGTGATATCTTCGTTCATATTGTGTTATTAGAATTACTGTTGTTTTGTAAAATAAAGAATTACCTACTTAATTCTATTTTTTAATTTTAATTAATAGTCATCAGCCCTAAAAACCAGGAAAACAGGCGTCTCCCATTAAAGGAAGGAAGGATTTGCTGAAACCGCCATGTTTAGCAGGTGGATGGCGTTCGCAGTACCAAAGGTCTCGCAACTTTGATGTTACAGGTTTGGTTAAAAAAGATGTTATGCTATCATCTTTCGGAAGTCGTGTGATATTTTTGGCAAATCCTATAGTCACCTCTTACCATGGGATGGATATTTTTTTGAATGACTGTCACAAACGAACACAAACTCCACTACATGGAAAGTGGATGCCGTGCCTCATAGATATCTATATTTCTCTTCGGTAAAAATAAATTGTAAAAATAAAGTGGTAATTCCCCATTCGAGCCAACTCATTCGTGCTATACCTACCATGTAAAATAAATGAACGAAATGCACGTTTATTAAATTAGTTAAATGGAATTGCTCAGTATGTTAGGGTAATTTGGCTCAATGTGAACATTAACTATAATATTTAATGACTGGGGTTTTTAATGGTTTACATCTCAAAGAAACAAATTATAGTAAGGTTGCAGGAGAGTGTAAAAATAGTTCATATTTAGCATGTGTAACGGTAAAACTTGTCGCTGAAAAAGTTACAATTATGAGTATTTCATAGCGCCAGGGTCATCGTCATGAGAAGATTCAGTGTCCAATGGTAAAGCCGGGTCTTCAACTGGAGCGGTATCGGAGCCCATTATAACAAAAACAAAATACTTCGCAAAAATAACCGAAACAACATTATATAAACACAATACACGGAGGTAAAGTGAGGTAAAGCGAGCGAATGTTTTTTGTTTCACTGTATACATGTCATTATTGACAGTTGGTGTTGCCAGGTAATAAAAAATGAAGTTGACAACAACTGAACTAATATTATAATCGGATGTAAAATGATTTGCAGGCCAAAACAATGAGTGTTTGTTTGTTTTTTGACAGTTAAAAAATATTAATTTTAGATTTAATTATATTTTTTCGAAAAATACTTTTTACAGAACAACTTGTCCACCTTAAGCCAAGAATGAACAATCCCCTTTACTCAAATTTAATAAAAAAATTAATATTTTAATAAAACTGACATCTTAAGGATTAAAAACAAACTAAAAGGAAAAGCAGAATAAATTTATTCTTTTAATAGATGGCGCTTATAAAACATGAATAACACAGGATAATAGAAATGACGTGATTTGACTAACAGCCGGCAGATAGCGCTAGTTTGTGTCATTCGTTTCATTTAGAATTTTTTTTTGCAGTAACTGATGATGTTGACTAGCGTTCAACAATGGCGGAATAAGAATTAAAAATGCCGTGCCCTTCACAGCCTATCAAATATCTTATTCCTCGTATACTAAACATGTTAATTGTTAAAGGCACCCCATGCCTCATAGACTGTCACCCTTTGAGGCAATCCATGGGTTTCTATGTTCAGCAGTGGATTTTTGATGGGCTGTGAAGGGCACTGCATTTTTGGTTCTTTTTCTGCCATTGTTGAACGCCAGTCAACAGCATCAGTTACTAAAAAAAAATCAATAAAACTTCTGACATTCCTTCAGGTTCCCTAACTTTTTAATCAAATTTTATTCTTCTTAATCTTCATCAGTCCGCAGAAATCCATAATTGGACAATGGTCTCTCAAGTTGTAGGGAAGATTTAACTAAACCGTCGTGTTTGAAAGGCTGACAATTGCAATACCAGCCGTCTCGCTCCTTTGACACTGCTGTTCAGTGCCTATCACCAGTTTCAGTATTTAACGTTGTAGAGTAAACGAAACGTTTATACCGCCATCTACGGTAGCCGTAGAAATAATAAAGAAATATATTTCGAATATACACGTGAAGTGCACTTACGCCACGCCGCATTGGGGCGGCGTATACATGTGAAGTCCACTTACACGCATTGGGGCAGCATGGCGGCCACTTCCTTGCCCTTTCAGAAAAGAGAAAGGCAAGCCGTGGTACGTGTACAGGCTGTAAGTTTACTTTACTTTACTTCATATATTACATTTATTTTATATATCTTTTTTATTTTACTCTTCTCATGTTTTCATCCCTAACTGAAAATTGAATTTGACGCTTTGAAATTTAATTATGATTTGACATATTATTTTGAATTCAAATAAAACATTTATCATGGAAGTAGGCCAGTAGGTGGGTAGGTACGCCGTTAAAATAAGTACTTTAATTATAACTCAAAGAAAGTCATCGTGGGTCAAGTCTTTTGTTTGAAAAAAATCATAGTTTTAAGCCCACCATTCAGTACTGCCGTGAACCAATGCATTTGAAGTTCAGTTGGAGTGGTTAAGGGAGTGTAGTGTTAATACCACTGTTACTGCAGTATTATTTTTATTAAAAATTAGCGACTCATCCTGGTTTTAACTGGGCAGAATCTATTAATGTTATTTAAGTTGTAGTTATATAGATCAGAGATAATCATTAGATACCATTGATTTTATAAATTTATCGATTTATAAAAAAAAATCTCAAAGTTTTTACAGATTAAACATAGGCTAGATCACTACTGGCATTGTTCTCTATCTAGTTAACCAATGCATATGAAGTTCAGTTGGAGTGGTTAAGGGAGTGTATTGTTAATACCACTGTTACTGCAGTATTATTTTTATTAAAAATTAGCGACTCATCCTGTTTTTGCCTGGGCAGAATATATTAATGTTATTTAAGTCGTAGTTATATGGATTAGAGGTAATCATTATATACCATTGATTTTATAAATTTTCCCATTTATAAAAAAAAATCCCAAAGTTATTACAGATAAAATAAAACCTAGATCACTTACTGGCACTGTTCTCTATATGGTTGTGAAGTTTCATTACAATTGGGTCAGCCATTCCGAAGATTAACCCAAACAGACAGACAGGCTAAAATTTCAGCTCGATAAAAGACAATTGTTTCGATCTTAACAGACAGACATTTCAATTTCATATATATAGATTGAAATAAAAAGTTTACTGCATGACACACGCTTACTTGAAAGCGAATTTTGGAACGTTTACGAATTAAGTTTAATGACGAAACATATTTGCTTCTGGTAGATCATTTCCCTTTGATTTATATCTAAACTTCAAGTTCTCTAAGTAAAAGCAAGTCACATGAAAGGGGTTCGTATTGTTATAATTAATTGCCTCTCCAAGATTTCCCAACATAGCATTGTAGTTATTCATGAAGTCGAAATTAATTATATGTATAATTGTTATACGAAATATTCATACAGTAACACACTATTGTTATTTCTGAATTCTTGGTAGTAACGTATTTACTGTAACGAAAAATTATTTTAATGGATTTTCAATCTTCATTTAGTTATTTATTGAACTCAATCAACCCAAACTAGGCTGACAGGGCGCATTCTCAAATGCCAATAAAATTGTGAATACATTTTTAAAAGAAACAACAATTTCATCGGTGCCGGCGGTAATCGCACTCAAGGGGAGCGCTTGGCCCATGAATTACTACATCACTTTGATTTTAAAAGTTTATTTTTGTATATTTGTGAATATTACGCTTTTATACACCTCCTACAATCCTCTATACTTTTTTAAAATAAAATGTGAGTAAAAGACGAGCACACAGCCCACTTGATAAATATTAACATTTATCCTCCAAATAAGAATCAAAATGCAGATGTGTTGTCATCCAATGTTAAATCTCTAAAACCTACAACTAGAACAATAAATTACTTATACTATTCTATTCTATACTACGACTAGATGGAATACCTCATTTCTAGTAAAAATAGTGTCCGGTTCTCTACACTCACCATACGAAACACAGCAGCGTTAAACTGCTATTTGCCATATACGTATTATTATTGTTGTCGTCAGGAAGAGGCTGCTGTTCGTTTCCTGTTTCAGTTTCCTTCTGTCACCCTCCATAGATTGTCTCAAAGGGGGGCCTTTGAGACAATCTATGGAGGATGTCTATACTCAGCAATGGTATTTTGATAGGCTATAACGGTAAGGATAAAGGTATGTAAATTGTTCATATAATAAAACTACTTTCGAATAGTGTTAAACCATTCAATTTAAATTAAATTATCAGCACTTTCATCTTCAACTTGTTCCAGTTTCCAGTGCATGTCTTGCATGACGGCATTGATCCACGAACTGATATTAGGTGAGGCGACAAGGTTCGCAAAACTTGGTCCAGTATCTTCTTTGCAATCTTCAAGTCTCCAAGAAGAAACAATACCCCAAAGAACACCATTTAGAACTACGGGTGCCCCAGCATCTTTCTACAAAAATGATCAAAAAAAGAATGAGAAGTTAAAATAAATCAACGACTGAATAGCATCTTTGATAGTCTCGGATATAAATATAAGTATCCTAATGAAAGCTGCGATACCACAGTCTTCGTGGAATTTGACATTTGCTGTTTAATTCCATACTTAACAAAATCTATATTAATATAATAAAGCAGTCAAGTTTTTTTTGTTCTTTTTTGTTTGTTCAAACACGCTAATATTTGGAACTACCAGTCCGATTTGAAAAGTTAATTTTGTATATTTTCCAGCCAGATTCATTAAAAATCTAGCATTAGGAATTACACCTCACAACAAGCCTTAAATATTGATTTTTGTAAAAAAAGTCAGAATAAAATGGAGCCTCAAATAGATTTATTCGCGTGCGCTGGCATAATTGTTAGTGATACGTGAATACAATGTTCTACAAAAGTCCTTACTCCATCTATAAGACCTTTACTCCATCTATAAAAAAGTCGGCAACACCATATGCCTTTCTCTAAGAAAGTAATTTTTTTATTTACTACTGGTTCGGAAAATACCTCTATCCTGGGAACAACTAGCAAGAAACCTAGCGGGACCTGTTTCAAACATATTTCACTTTACAATGATTTTGTTTGTACAATTTTTAAATGAATTTCCATAGAACCAGCATGGTGAAGATCACCTCATTTGCAGCGGTTATTTTCATTCATATACTCCTTGATATTATAATAACCTTTTTTGTACAGTTTTTCTTTAATAAAACTTTTAAATTTGTTTTTTGACAAACTTTGAATAGTTCCTGGGATTTTGTTGTAAAATCGTATACATTGCCCAATAAATGAATGACTGATTTTGTGATGTCTAGAAACTGGTATTTCAACAAGCTTATGTTTGTTCCTAGTGTTTAAAGAATGAACATCCTTATTCATATTAAAGCTATTTATGTGTTTATGTACATACATTACATTTTCATAAATATATTGCGATGCCAAAGTTAATATGTTTATTTCTTAAATATTTTCCCTGAGAAAATATTTAAAATTTGAGTTATAAATTGTCCGTACGGCTCTCTTTTGCAAAGTAAATATGGATTCAATATCAGTCGCATTACCCCATAGCAAAATTCCGTAAGACATTACGTTTTGAAAGTAACTAAAATAAACTAATCTAGCTGTCTAAACATCTGTGAGACTTCTAATCTTTCTTACAGTATATGCTGCAGAACTAAGTATGCTTGCTAATTTAGATATATGGGGGCCCTATTGAAGCTTCGCGTCAATAGTAATAACAAGAAAAACAGTGGTATCCACAAGACTCAACTCCTCCCCGTTTAATAGCACATTGGTATTCTAATGTTTAATATTAGGTATTGTAAATTTAATACATTTTGGTGTATTGCCGTTTAAGAAAAAATTCTTGGCAATAAAGCAATGTACTAATTTCGATAGAGCATTATTTACATTGCCGTAATTAATTGACTGTCGTTTGAGTTTGAAAATTAAAGAGATATCATCAGCAAATAATACTATATCGTGATTGTCCTCACGCCTCTACAAAAGAAGGTAAGTCATTAATATAGATTAAGAACAGGAACGGACCACGAATCGAGCCCTGAGAAACGCCCATTGATACTACCGATCCGGAGGAATATTAACCTTAATAACAGTAACAGACGATTACTATGCTTCCTTGCTACATCAATTGCGAGGTGCTTTTAAAGAAAAACATTGATAGAAATAGTCGTAAGGAAGGTTATTGCTTCATAATAATGCTCCGGTCCACACATCGGGTGTTCCAAGGCTGCCATTAAGGAATGCTGTTTCACTAAGCTTGATAATCCGCCATATAGCCCCGACTTGGCCCCTATTATATTATTTATTCCTAAAATTGAAATCCAACTGACGGAGAAAATAATTTAAGACTGATGATAAGGTGAAGTCAGTAGTTTTGCCAGATTTTGAGAGAAAAAATTCTGACTATTTTTAAGGGTATAGAAAAGTTAGTAAAGCGGTGTGATAAGTATATTGAAATAAAGGGAATTTATATCTAAAAATAGTTATAGTGCTTTGAAATTTATACTTCGTTTTATAGTAATAACTGACCTTACATGGATCGGACCCTAGCGTAGGATCCAAGCACAATAACGTGCCCGTCTCTATAATCCCCAATCTGTCTTGATAACTGTGGCAGTCGTCATCGTCCATGGGATGCATCTGTTGTACAGACAGTATCCTGCTACGTTTGATCATATCCATTGAGTTGTGGAATGTCTTGCTTCTTGAAAATTGGTTCTATAATTAAAGACATTATTAAACCGTTTAACACTAAGGTATATAGTTAAAAATCATACGAATCATATAGACATAGCTTTTTTAAGGTTGTAATTTATTCCGCTTTTAAAGTTATAAAAGTATATGAAGATGCAGTATGAAAAAATCTAACCTATGCGACAACTTTGCTCCAAGAACTCCCGTCATTAATTTCGATGAAAAAAAATCCTTATAGAAAACTGATCCGTAAATAATGTTGCTACTATTGGTTGATCGCATAGGTAGAATTTTTTTCTTATTTTGCACAACTCAATTCATCGTTCAAGTAAAAAAAAAATCAGAATTTGCACATTTTGATTTCGATTTCTAGGTAATCGATGACACTGTCGTCAAATTGTCGTTTGTCGTCATCTGGCGTACTTTAAACTTATGTACTTTATTCAGACATCGCTATCTACCATTTTACGTGCAAGAGCTACGCTGCAGCTATATTATAATTGTACCACGAATGGGTCGGCTTGACCGGGTAAGGACCACGCTCTGATAGCATATCGGCGTAAAATAGCAGCTTAATACTGATGTGTTGCGTATGATGAGTGTAGAGAACTGGCGACCCTTTTTACTGAAAATGAGACAGCCCATCTTAATTCTCACAATGACGACGCATCTGCATTTTGATTCGTAATCGAGGATAGAACGTATGTACAAAGACCACAGGATTCACTTGCGATCAGGTTGTCTGAGGGCTCGAATGTTACTATTATTTTATTTTAAAAATGTCATTCTGTGTGTACCTACAAGCTCATATATACCCATACCATACACGTATAGAAATTTAATATTTACAAATATACAAAAATAAACTTTTGAAATCAACGTGACGTACTTATTCATAGGTCACACATCATCATCATCATTACAGCCATTCATAAGTCCACTGCTGAACATAGGCCTCCCCCAAGGAATGTCACAAAGCACGGTCCTGAGCCACCTGCATTCATCGACTTCCTGCATGTCTTACCAGGTCGTCACTCCATCTCGTGGGGGGTCGCCCTACACTTCGCTTACCGGTACGAGGCTGCCACTCAAGAACCTTTCTTCCCCATCGGTTGTCGGTTCTTCGAGCTATATGGCCGGCCCACGGCCACTTCAGCTTACTAATCCGTTGGGTTATGTCAGTTACTCTGGTTCTACTGCGGATATCCTCATTCCTAAGTTTATCACGCAGAGAAACTCCGAGCATAGCCCTCTCCATAGCTCGCTGAGCGACCTTGAGCTTCCTCATACGGACAGCAGTGAAGGACCACGTCTCAGTTCCGTAAGTCATCACTGGCAACACGCACTGGTTGTACATAGGTCACACGTCCAACTTAATTTGAGTAGAATTCAAGTAATTCGCAAGCAATTCCCACCAGTACTGTCAACATTGTTTAATTGTAATAAATGTAAAAAAGTTATTTACATCGTAAGGTGTTATTAAACGAAATCATTTCGGGTAACAAGCAATATTTCGGACAAATGTTAAGAACGTGTGATATCCGGGGACATTTATGTAAAATTTCTCAGCTGCCATAGGGAAAAATCCTTTTTTATAAACCTAAGGGTGTTTGTTATCATACCAATCGATCGATCGTCGATCGATGCCTTTGATTGACGTTGATCGATTTCGATCGATTGGTGTGGTAGTTTTAGCTGATCGACGGATACCGGTCTATAAAACGTTGTTCAATCATCGATCGACAATAATTAATCAATGTGGTTGTGGGCTCATATTCAATATCTTTCAAAATGCGGTCGGTGGAGCGGGGTGGGTTCTCGAATAATCAAGTAGCTCGATGGACGGCGACTAATCTATTTCACTATCTATCGAGCGATGGGTGTGCTAACATCCCAAATAAGACTTAAAATAAATAGTGAAATTCTTACCGTATAATGAGGCGACCAAGCTGTTACTATGAAATGTGTAACTGTTACCTCCTTCGGTTTTCGGAGTAATCTTATGGGTTGTATAGAAGACATCAATCGAACAGATTCTGATAATCTTAGAAGAGCTACATCATATTCCGGCTTTTTATCGTCAAAATACGGATGGATGCGGAAATATTTTATCGGGTAGAGCTTACCGCCTTTTTTGTAATTCATGCTGCCAAGACGTACTCGTAGTACTCTAATGGATTCTCGTACTCTAAAATTATTATTACAATGTTTTGATTACGATAATTATTTCTTTTACTATTTAAATTTTGAACTCAAAATTGGTGACTGAGATGCTTGACCTTCCGAAGTCACAGTGAGCCCGGCTACCTTCAGTTTTTGAATATTAGTTTTTGGTTCGATCTATGCAGAATGAGCATACCGTATCTTGCAGCTTTATGTCTTGCAGTGGTATGCTTAGGTTCGAATTTAATTTTGTTAATTATAGGATCCCAAGCAGATGGCAGCACCCATCCATCTTCTCTATTGAAAATAGGATAGTTTTTTTTTTAAATTTCAATATAGCCTTGCGTATAATTTTTGGTAGGAATCGGTCTTTCAAATCTGTTGTAATGGCGGGGACGATCTAGAACATGTTCACATACTGCAGAGTTCCCAGAGAGTCGGTGTCTCACGTTGATCGTTATAGTTTAGTAGCGCCTTATAACTTGACTTCAAAAAAATACTGATTTCTGGACACGAAATGTATGACTACAATATAAAAAACAACATGGGCATTTTACATACCCTAAATATTACAATTATTATTACGCATACAGTTTCAATTTCAGGCTTCAACCTAATTTACCTGAACGATAAAAATATACGATGGAAGTAGGTAAACTTCTGTTTTGTAAGTTTTTTTTTTTACTTATTATAAGCCAGTGCTTAACCACAATCCCACCTGGTAGTAAGTGGTGATGCAACTTTAGATGGTAAATCACACATCTTAACGTAACTAAACCGTTTAGTAAAAAAAATAACTAACCGCTTTGTAAAGCTCACTCTGCGTTGAACATCAGGTATGTTCTTCATTATCATCATTATAATTATAATCCAAATATACATGAATACCATAATAGAATAAATATCAAAATAGTGTTTATATTTATATAACATTATGTTTTTAATTTTAACTACTTCAGAAATTATTGAAAACAATGCAATAAAATGTCGGGTTCGAATTAGACCACAAAACTTTTATAGGACTAATGTTTACCATTTACCGCTATAAATACCACAGAAATTTTTAGTTCTTTCATTGTTAAAGACCCTTCCAAGAATGCGCGAACAGGCAAACATTAGTCGACAGATTTTTCCATACTCACCATGCTGGTGGTGAGTACAGAGCCTATTCAACTGGTTACATTCACCAGCTTCACCTTTGCATTGGTATTGCTGCATCTTCATCATCATCATCATGCTTTACATCAGCAGAATGGCAGATAAGTTTTTAACAATAAGTAGAAAACATCTGCCGTAAAGCTGCTAAAGAATTATCCGCTCTTAGACGGTCGCCACATCCTTGTCCGTAGACTACTGACGGGATGGTTCACCTTGCTTTTATTTGAACTTTTATTTTAACAGCATGCATATTATTTCCTTATATATCATTGCAGGTTTACGTGGTAGAGCCATGCTGCAGATATATTAACAGTATAGTTGTAGCACGAATGGGTCGGCTCGACTGGGGAAGGACCACGCTCTCACAGAATACCAGCGTAAAATAGCAGCTTAATGCTGCTGTGTTTCGTATGGTGAGTGTAGAGGACCGTAGACCCTTTTTACTGGAAAGAAGGCATTGTATCTTAGTCCTCACGGGTGACAACGCATCTGCAATTTGATTCACAAGCGAAGATACATGTAGATGTCTATGGGCCACAGCAACCACTTACCATCAGGTGGACTGTGTGCTCGTTTGTCACCCTTTCCTATAAAAAAAGCTATTAAAAGTTCCCTGCTGATCATAGGCTTTAAGGCCATATTTTCAGCACTTGAGGGGGTTGGCAAATACAGTTGTTTTAAGTTATTTTCAGAAAGAAGCTGTAACTCATTTCCTGTTCTATTTCTCGCTGTCACCTCTTACGTCACCCACGGGACGACATGGGGAAGTGGATTTTCGTTCGCCGCCACTACACACCAGACGTAAAATATCCAGACCAGCCTTCGGTGACGGCAACAGTATTGAAACAGCAACAGAAACTTATTTATTCAATGTAGATTAGAAATAATACATATTGTCACATGTCATAAAGTCACTCTTTTGTTTAATTACCACTGGTTCGAAAAAAACCTCTGTTCTGGGAAGAACCAGCAATAAACCCAGCGGCACTTTTTTTAAAATTAAAACTTACAACCATGTATGTTACACAATTATCCTCTTAAAATAAAATTAGAAATAGCTTGGTAGCGATCACCTTACTCATTATTAAAGGTGCGAGACGTCCTATACTGTGATAGTAACCCCACCTGCTTAGCGCAATGGCTGATATAAATCCACGAATGCACACCTGTGGACGTCTACAAGCCAACGTAGAAGAATAAATGTAAAATACTTACAAATACAGTGCATCAGCCGCCGTTAAAATCCAATTTTCACTGATCATAGCACCAGCACTTAAATAATTTGTCATTTTGAGAACGGCAACCACGTAGGGAAATAGTTCCATATCAGTAACCATGGTATGATCGCTCAATTGTCCATATACTTCTTCTTTAGCGAGATCTGATTGTGTAAAAACAATCATCACATGTGTTAATATTACACAAATTATATTTGTTACGGTTAAATTAAAAATCATTGTTCAAACTATTACTTTTAAATTAACAGCGTTTACTCTGAATGTGCATTTTGAGCAAGTTACATAAAGTGTGTTTAGTAAACTTGACTAAATGTTTCCAAACAATGCAAACGGTTACGAATGGAATAATATTTAAACCATGACTATTTAACATTGATAGATACTCGTAACATTTGGAAATTGTTAGATGAATTGATTTCTTCCTGATTTATCCCGTGTCGTTCTGTTATAATAGGTATAATGTTTATGTGGGACATAAAAATAAATAAATAAATAATGCTTTATTTATGCCACAAATTTTTTAACAATTAAATGGAACCCTAGTTTCTAAACTAGTTGTTATAACTGTATCTTAGAAACCAGTGCTTTCTCCTATTAGTGGTACACTTAAAATAGATTCTGGCGACTTAAGAATAAATACAATTCGGTTAACAACTAACTAACATGCAGTAAACGAAAATCAAGGAATGAGAAAAAGTGTTGTGTGGATAGTAGTCGTGTGTCAGGTGTGTGTGTATATGTGCGTGTGTGTGTTCGTGGGTGTGTGTAAGTGTGTATGTGTGTGTGTGTGTAATGTGCCGACTGCGTAACTTGACTAGTATGTCGTAAAAGGAAACTAATGGGATATTGTGATTGTGTACGCGAAGGGCTAGCCTACTATCACTTTTTTCACAATTTTTAATCTGAACCCATATTTTTTGGCCCAACATAGTCCGAGCATGTTGACGCGATGCTCTTCCTAATTTTTCATTTTTCCATAGCTGTCACGCTTGGCAGGTGAGTTGGCGACTGCATTTTTTTATTATTTTGAGTTGTTATAAAGAAAAACTTTGTGTTTCTGTTTCCTTCTAACTCCTACGCCCTATGAAGTAATCCATCAAAAAGGCCTATGTTCAGTTTCTGTAGTTTTAAATATTTTACTTCATAGAGAAGCTGTTAATTTTTTAAGGTTTTTTTATAGGACAAGGATGACAAGAGAGCAGTACACCTGATGGTAAGTGGTTGCTGTGGACCATAGACATCTACATCTATCCTCGTTTGCGAATCAAAATGCAAATGCGTCGTCAGCCGTGAGGACTAAGATGGAATGCCTCTTTTCCAGTAAAAAGGGTCTCTGGTTCATTAAACTCACCACAAGAAACAAAGCAGCATTAAGCTGCTATTTTACGCTGGTATTCTGTGAGAGCGTGGTCCTTCCCCGGTCGAGCCGACCCGTTCGTGCTACAACTATACAATTAATATAGCTGCAGCATGGCTCTATCACGTTAAAATCAGGTTTCATGTCTTACTTAATAAATGTATGCAGTAAGCTGTAATGAACATTCTAGCGTATTAATAACGCCTTTGTTCTCGGTTAACTGCTTCATTATCATTTCTGAAAGCCTATGTACTTGAAACCCGCTTCGGTTTAATAGTTATAAAGTATTAAAAAATATGATTTAAATTTTCCACGGACAGTAAATTTTACGGCGGCTAATCAAAAGCAATCGTGTGATAGCGGTGTAAGTATATCTACTATTCTATATCATCCCGTGGGTCCCATGCCTGTCGTAAGATGTGACAGATGGAAACTGAACAATGTGATGGCTCTGTCAAATAGACCGAATTCTTGATAACAACTCCTAATATTAAAAACTCTAAAGCGTGGCAACTATGGCAAAATCCCTCCTATCAGGCAACCTATGGGTGAAGCCTTTGTGCAGCAGTGGCGTTATAGGTTGTAAAGGATAATGGAATCAAAAGTAAATCGTAAGCTACTTGAATATTACAATTTTATGCCCTTTTTGTGTCATAGGTCTCCATTACGCTACTGAATAATGAGAATGAGAAATAATTATTAAAAATACTAATGGAGTGTTAAAAAACCTACGCTGATTCGATGTATTTTATGGAAACACAGGACTTCGAAATATAATTGACAAATTTCTTCATAATAATTTCATTAATCGCTAAGATAAATCAACACTTAAATAGAATAGAATAGAATAGAATAATTTTTATTCAGTATAGATTATAGTACATAATACTTATTAAAAGTAGTTTTTTACTTTACCACTGGTTCGCAAAAATAACCTCTGTTCTGGGAAGAACCAGCAAGAAACCCAGCGGGACATTTTTTTTTAAAAAAGCACAATTTACAATATATAATTTTATACAATTATTATGAAAACATTTAGAAATAGCATGGTAGTGATCACCTCCTTCCCAGGGGTTATTATCAGTCATGTACTTGAAAATGCAATACACAATTTCAGTGGTGCCTTAAGTTTTAATACTTTTATTCATATTTTATAAGTGGTAACATATACACTCGGGTAACATATAACCGAATTTGAAAATTTAAAAAACCCCCGAAACAAAAAGAGCGGATGATCTTCAAACGCCTGAACTGATTTTGATCAAACCAACGCAACAAATTCGGTTCACCCGTTTAAGAGCTACGGTGCCACAGACAGACATACAGACAGACAGACACACAAATAAACTTATAACACCCCTATTATGCGTTGGGGGCTAAAAATACATTTTTTTTAAAAACGTTACCCCCACACTAGGATTTTCTCCTGTATCGTGGAGGCAGTTTACAAACACAAATTGCACAACGAAAAACATCCAGACCCGGAACAATTATTTGTAGGCCATACAAATACTTGTCCCGCGCCCCCCGGCGCAGCAATTCATTGCTAAGCCACTGCGCCACGGAGCCATCAACATTTATTTCACAATAACACTTTTTCACAATTTAGTATTGAAATAACACCAAAGAGTAATTTAATACACATATATAACATAAATGTAAAACCGCCCTGTAGTAGTGATTTAAGAGAAGTCATTACCCCATATCGTCCCGTGGATGTCAAGATGTCATGGAAGAGGCGACAAAGGGAAATGAAACAGGATGTAGGAAGGCACCATCTTCCTGATAACAAACTGAAAATAATTAAAATTAAAAATTTTGTACAGCCGTCTTCAATATAAGTTATTAAGAATAACTCGAAAACTATTGGTTTGACCTTGATCAAATTCATATAGAACCACATGAGTAGTACCAGCTTTCAAATAAAAAAGAATTATCGAAATCGGTTCACCCAATAAAAAGGTATATGGTAACACAAATAAAAAACATGCAGTCGAATTGAGTACCGTCTCCTTTTTGGGAGTCGGCAGATAACAAAAACTGCGGCTGTCAACCCGCCTACCTAGCGTGGCAATTATGGTGAATATATTCTCTATGAGGCAGTCAGAGGAGAGAAATATGTTCAATAATGAACTCTTAATAAATGAGAGAAAAATAATATCAACTTTAAATTTCAAATATACTTTGACTAACATATTCCATTTTTGCGCACTAAACAACGGAACGGATGCAAGATTAACGAGGTAACATCAATAACGATGTCGTTCCGTACCGAATTACCTGCAAATTGGCTCCAACGTGTCCTCGGTTGATTTAGCTCTAGTTTAAATTCGCCTAATTTGTGTGAATACTTATGTTTTCTACGTTCCCAAGGTAAGTAACGACATAAAACGTCTGCTAACAAGTGGTAATATTAAAAATTTTGTACAAATTATTGACGTATGTGTATATATTATTAACAATAACTCAAAAACTACTGGTCAGACCTTGATCAAATTTATATATAGGACAACAAGAGAAGCACCGGCTTTCAAATAAAAAAGAATCATCAAAAGCGGTTAACCTAAAAAAAAAGTTGTTAGGTAACACATAAAAAAAAGAAAATACAGTCGAATTGAGCACCTCCTCTTTTTTGAAATCGGTTAAAACTATGCGAAATCCTAGAACGTTTTTGTGGTGGTAGTGCTATGCTGCAGCTATATTATGAAAAATTGGGTTGGCTCGTTCGGGGAAGGACCATGCTCTTTCAGAATATTAGAGTGAAACAGCAAAATAATGGTGTGTTTCGTGGGACCTTTCGTATTTACGTGATAGACCCATGCTGCAGCTATATTGTGGTTGCAGCACGAATGGGTCGGCTCGCCGGGGTCGGATCACGCTCTCACATAATACCAGCGTAAAATAGCACCTTAATAATGCTGTTGGTTGGATGGTGAGTGTAGAGAATCGGAGAACATTTTTACTGGAAACGAGGCATTCCATCTTAGCCCTCAGTGGTGACAACGCATCTCAATTTTGATTCTTAATCACTTTTTTGGTAATTAATGTTTAATTATATACAACATTAAAAATTATAATAATAAAAAAAAAACAAATTAAAACTAGAAACTTAATTATCATATAGTCCTACTCCCTGCGGTATCGCACCAATAACGCTGGCTGCGTTTCCCCGCTGAATGGCTATACTTAGCCTTTGAGCGAGAAAAGAACCAGCCCTCTTATCATCAGCAGCAACGACCAGCCGCGGATGGAGTTCCTTTAGGAACTTCACCGCACGTGGACCCCACGGATCGATAGTCTCTACAGCAAATGGCATAAATATGTAGTCATCTCTCAGAGACACATATTTGCGTCACTTACTCAGTTCAGCTGCCTTTGATGGTTCTAAACGAGGTACCCCTGAGATGAGAGGCCGCCAGAGTGTCTACGCAAGTAGCATCCCATACTAGGGCTTTACCTCTCTCCCAAGGGACCAATGTCATACCGTCGGGTGTCCTGCCATCGTCTCTAAATATTCCACAAGGCTCTAAAACCGAGGGAACATTTATAGAGACAAGAGCTGCCCCTGCAAAGGTCGCCTTGGCTAGGGCTCATAGTAGCCTCTTCGACGGGCAGCCGAGGGTTCGGGCCCAAATGGCCATATGGAAACTAGACCTATCATACGACGCTATAGGGAGAAGGGTAGGAAAATAAATAGTACGTACCTGCATCCGAATCTAAGACCGCCCCAAGTCAGGTCAGGTCAGGCCGTAGGTAGAGTAGATGTATGTACAGTGTGTTTAGTGGGGTGTATATGTGGGTGAGCTGGCCCGGCTGACGTGACCTGGTAGCGGCCGATTCCATGCTGCATCACTCCAGCAGGAGTGGAGTGTCCCCACTGGACCAATTTCTTTCTTCATTTCACTATTTCAGTCTATCCACTTTATGGTACATTTAACTAACTTCAACTCGACTAATTCAACGTTCATCGTAGAATGGAATGCGTGATATCCGACCCAAGTAACGAACAGTAGTCAAAGTTCAACACTCCATGTCCCGGATTCATTTATCACCAAATTACAAATAGGGAACTAACGCGATCTCTTCATGAGTCACACGGTTCAGCGTTACAAATACAACTAAGCTCCCGCGTTCGATATTAAACACCACGTCGCAATAAGAATTCAAAATCAACCTAGCTGACACGTAAACTAGCTACTGAGTCAACACAGAAAAGGCTCTTAACGCGACGGTATAATTAAACAATGATTTCCAAACAATCAACTGGGCGACGCCTCGATAAGGAATTCGCGGTCAAATTCCACGTGACCCGAGCAAGTTAAATATTGTAAAATGCACTTCAACGCGCAATCACTACTACTATAATTGGAGCAATTACTTTCCAACGAAATTACTTCAATCAGTCCAATACAATACAAGCCTCTTGTCAAGAACTTAAAACCTAGACAAACTAAACGGAGAAGGTTTTCACGAAATCACAATTACGTAGCGAAGTCACACGCACAAATTCTAAATCATCAAAAATCTTGAAACCAGCGTTTGGGCGTGAACAAGAGCCCTTCGGATGACATCGTTCAAAGAACTGTGTCGTGAAAACCTACCAGCGCTTTTCTTACATGAAAGTCCGTGGAGCCCAAATTTGTTGACGCTGCTACCACAGGGGCACTCATGGGGTTGACAAAGCGCCGCTCCTAGTCGGATTCCTACGGCGATGCGCAAGCTTTCCCCATCAAGTAATGTGCCGAGATTACTTGAAGTTAAAGCGTGTAACCAGTGACGAGATTCCTTAGTCGAAACAGCTAGAAGTCTTGCTTTATCTTGGTCACTATGGAAATTATGAAACAAATCTTTCTGCACGCCCCGTACCAACGGAATATCCCACTGTTTTTATTAGTTAACTTCCAGTGGAACATTTTCACCGGGATAGAGCGTTTGCCATGTCTGCCCTACCTCCGTAGCAAAGCATAGGTCTACTTTATTATTTAAAATTATGTTACATATGGAAAGCAGGCAATGCAACGCTAGAAAGATTTCTCACACCAATGCGACCAAATTTTATAGGTAAAGTAGCTTGAGTCCAGGCTGTTGTATTTAAAGTTAAATTTAGAATTTTTTCTATAGCTATTTTGAGATTATTATCAATATCTTTTAAAATATCCGAAAATTTCCAGACTGGACTCGAGCGAAATAAGTATGTAAATCTAATCTATTTTTGGATGTTATATTATGTAATAAAGTTTTAAATTCAAATATTCCATCTATTGGGTAATTTTTGGGGGCGGCCTTTGTCCAGCATTGGAATTATGACAGTCTGTAATGAATGAACTGGGGCGTGAGCCACGCCACAGCTTGTATTGTAGTGTTAGTGGGTCGGTTCAACCAGGGTAGAACAACGCTCGTACAGAGTATCAGCGTAAAATAGCAGGTTAATGCTGCTGTGTTTCGCACGTTTAGTGATGAGAACTAAAGACCCTTTTTACTGGTAAAAAGTTACTCCATCTTAGTCCCCAGCTGTGAGTATGTATTAGCATTTTGATTCTTAAAAGGGAATATATTTAAATTAATGTCTATGGGTCACATTATCCACTAGTATTAAGGTGAATTGTGCTCGTTTGTAACCTTACTCTATGAGAAGTCATTTTTTAAACATTTTTTTAAGTATCATTCTCACTGGTTGGGAAAACAGGTCGTTGACATCAAAACTATGATGAGGAAAAATCTGTCTAATAAGGTTGTGGTCACATTTCAAAAGTTCACACCGCTCAGTGCTATGCTTGTAATATATGTATGTGTAATGTAGATGTTTAAACTATTGATATATTGATATGTATTAACTGCCTCGTCGGTTAAGTGATTATAAACGCGACTGATGATCACAAGGTCCTGGGTTTGAATCCCTTGTCGGGGCAATTCTCAGTATCTGCCCGGAGTCAGGAAGTTGGCGGTGCCTCACCCCTGTGTTTCGTAACGCACGTAAAGTCGTTGGTCCTGTGCCTGATCTCTTTCTGGTCAGTTGACCATCGGACTATGAGAGTGAAGGAATAGAGAGTGCACCTGTGCTCGTGCATACACTTGGGCACAATAATCCTGACCTGCACCGGTGGCTAGTCTCCGTTGCGGCTGGCCGCCGTGACTGAGATTCGGTCTGGAGGACATTATATTAATATGATGTATATTTTTTGTAGGTGGTAGGACTTTTCCGCCTACGAGTCTGTCTGGGTAGTCACCACTCTGTTACCTATTTCTACCGCCAAACAGTACTATGTCTGCTGCTATGTTCCGATGTAAAAGGAATAGAGAGCTAGTATTATTACTGGCTGTAAGCAAAGACGTATTAAAAAAGAAAACATCTTAGGCTGTAAGACATTCCATCTCAGTGATTGGAGGTGACAACGCAGTATCTTTCTTAATTTGAAGTTCGTTGCAGATATCCAAGGTTTGCAGTAACCGCATACCATCATGTGCACTTTAAGATCGTTAGTAAATTTAAATTAACAAATTTTTTAAACTTGTATGATCTTCAACGAATACCGTTTAGTGATTCTGGGTACAGTGGAACCCCGGTAATCCGGCACCTGTCTAATCCGGCACCCCCTGTAATCCGACATGGTCTCTTATTTATTATTAAATATTTTTTTGACAATCTTCGCAAATGCATGATTGAACAAGTTATAACTTATACGCACCACCACTATTGTGCTCTACGCGTGTGTAATGAAGTATAATTTGTACTTGAGAGTACATATATATAACATATAGAATCTTATCAAGGGATCTGGAATTTGTCGGATTACAAAAAAAATCCTTTTATAAAAAATCCGGACTATAGGGGGTCTTAGGCAGTACTCTATAATCCGACAAATTCGATAGTCCGACACTGCCCCGCAAAATGTTTGTCGGATTACCGGGGGTCCACTGTATAAGGTACTCAACTATCGTCGACGCACTATCTTATCTTTACAACTTTGTTAACTAGAGACTTTTACACGATAAATCAGACACCTTCTTGGGAAAGATGGTCGCCCTCCCAGTGATAAAACAAGTTGCCGGATTCGATGATTACCGTGTCTAATCTCCCTTTCTTCGGACCTCAGATAATCCTATAATATCCCATCGTACCTTGTCTATCTCTTCTTCTACCTCCAGGATCTTCTCTTCTCTATACAACTTATATTGGTTTAAATAAAAGTTTGATAATTTGGGCAAACACAATTTATTTCAAAAATTCAAAACGGAACCCTTCGCATCTGTTTTTCAATTTGCTTGACACTCTTGTTTTTAATATCAGGTATCATAGATATCGCGTATATAGCGCCGAGTATATTGATGCAAGCAAACAAGTAAAGTAGCGAGTAGATTCCAACGTAATCCTCCAGATATTGGAACGTTAGAGTGTGTACTAGCTTTATAATTTGAGAATATACGAAAACGATCCCTATAAGCATTACTCGTATCTGAAAATTAAATGTAACTATATTTTATTCAAATATTTTTTTAATAATTTTCTATGAACAGTAAAGAGTAAAGTAAGTTTTTACGTGGTAGAGCCACGCTATAGCTATATTAGTAGCATGAATAGGTCAGCTTGACCGGGGAAGGATGACGTTCTCGCAGAATACCAGCGCGAAATAGCAGCTTAATGCTGCTGTGTTGCGTGTAGTGAGAGTAGGGAACCGAATACCCTTTTTAATAAAAACGAGGCATTCCATGTTAGTCCTCAAAGGGTGACAATATTCAGTTCAAATTAAATTTGCATTTCGATGGGACACATCATCTACTCACCATCAGGTGAAATGTGTGTTCGTTTATCACCCTTATTCTATAAAAAAGTAAAGCAACTCCTACTAATTACGTATTACTATTGAGCCTCCTCAGTAACAATAGGTTTCCTCTAATGCGTGTTAGCGGTTCTTACATGTCCTTGAAATAATTTTATTCCCCAGAAATGAAGGTTTCTCACGGCGCCTTACTTCTCTCCTAAGCAAGTGGTAAATTAATATTTCAAATTGTAATTAACTATTTTATTGGTGTCGGCCGGATCGAAACTCGGTTGCTCATGTTCTGTGAAATCCGAAACCACTGCTCCTAAAAATGGTCAACTGCAATTTTAAATGCTAATTTTTTTAGTGCTCTGCGGTGAAGAAAATATCGTCCTGTTCTCTTTGAAAACCCTCTAACAAACCACAGAAGACCTGTACTTATTGGGACGTACATAAACTGTTACTTTTTTAATTTTATTCCGTAATTAGAAAGAATACTTAATCAACTTCTTTTTCAATATACATGCAAGATTTTGTGCGCGATGATCAAATATCACAAAGATGTCGCAATGTGACGAAACGTAATGAATCACCTTATTGTGAAGACATTTTAAACAAAATGTTATAAAACATATGTTACTTCACTACTACTAAATACTTAACACTGGCGAAAAAGTAAATAACCATACGAGTCCATAACAAATAAAAAAAATTACACATGCTCCAAATGAAACTGCTTTCTTATAACTGGACTTCAAGATATATAATATATAAAAAATAATATAGTTACCTCTAAATTCAGAATTTCAACTAGGACGACATTAGGCAAATTCCAGACCATGCCATAGCTGAAGACGATAATTGCCAACGCCACGATTGGCAACCATGTGAGAGATGTCACGGTGAGATCTGCTTGTGTAAAAACTGCCAAGATGCCCATTGATAATATCATGATGCTATATGAGAATGTGATCAGATACTGAAAAAAGTATTTTATATTTATTATTTACTTAATCATTTCTTATCATTAAAAAATCTAATTAGATGAATTTAATCGCGTTTGTTTTAAACTTTCTTTTCGAATTTTCGAATTTTCGTCACGTGGCCACGTAGGCGACTGAGGTGTATAACGCCCTAACTATTCAGAGCGTGCGGTCCTTTTATTTATTTTATATTTATTATCTACACCTTATATTAAGACCTATTACGCACTGTGGACTAGTCGCCGGCGACTCAGTTGTCGACGACTGTAATATTGTATAGTTTAAATAGGTGTTTACGCACTAGTCACCGGTTGCCCGGGCGACTCGGCGACTCGCCGCGCAGTGGCGACGCACAGGCAACTGCCGGTCGCCGGCGACCAATAGGAGCACGGTTTCAAATTGCTTTCATTGAAAGCATTCACACTGCGAGCAACTGTCGTAACGACCGGACGGCCGCGCACAATGAGTTTTGACACGGATAAATTTATATCGGAAATACAATCCCGAAAAGCTATTTGGGATTTACAAAGTGAGGAATATGCTAATCGGGATTTGAAGAAAAAACAGTGGGAAGAAATAGTGGAGTTATTTGGAGGTGAAGAATTATCAGACGAAGAAAAAAAAAACTCAGGTAAGTAAGAAATGCCATTTATTTTTTATTAATTAATACTGCTCATCTGCCAAGATAATTGTACCCTCAGTTGTAAAGTAATCAGCAAATACATCTCTGTATGATGCACCACGTCGCGTAGCTCTTTGGAAACCGTTTGGGACTTCTTCAAAGCCAGGAATGCTCAGGGTATCTTCAAATTTATATCCGTCTCTTTCTCGGACATAGTTGTGAAGAGCGCAACATGTTTTGATGATGCATGATACTAGATCTAAATTCACGTTGATAGGTCTGTGAAAAATCTGCCACTTGTTTGCTAATATGCCGAATGAACATTCAATATGGCGTCGTGCACGAGAAAGCCTATAATTAAATATTTTTTTCTTTGTTGTTAAATTTGATCCACCGAACGGTCGCATAATTTTGTCAGTTTGTCCAAATGCTTCGTCACCCACAATAACGAACGGTACTGGTATAGGGTTTGTCGATGAAATGGGCTTAGGTTCGGGTATTTGCAAATCATTGTTCATTAGCTTTTGATAAAACGTTGAATTTGTAAATATAGTTGAATCGCAATCCTTTCCATAGGAACCAACGTCTATGTATATGAACTTATAGTCAGAGTCACAAATGGCAAGCAAAATTACAGAAAAGAAGTGTTTGTAATTATAACACAATGATCCACTGTTGTATGGTTTTATAATTCTTACATGCTTACCATCTACGGCACCTATGCAATTTGGAAAATTGGCCCGTAAATGAAAATCTTTTGCGATTTTTAACCAATTTTCTTTTGTCGGTTGCGGTAAACACATGTCTTTTAGTACAACCCATATAAAATGACAAACTTCTCTTATTATTTCAGCTATAGTTGAAATCCCAAGTCTGTATGAGTAATGTAAATCTACAAATTTACAACCGCTTCCAAGATATCTGGAATTAAAAAATAATTTAAATATATACATTATTTACAGGTCATTCACTTCAAAAGAAATGGAAAAATATAAGAAGCTGCTTTTCGCGAGAAGTACGAAGATTAAAAAATACTAAAAGCGGATCTGCTGCTTCCCATAAAACTCCCTATATTTATTATAATCAGCTGTTATTTTTGAAGAATACCGTTGGTAATTTGAACACAGAGAGTAACATTGCTGAACAAGAACATTTGATAAATGATCAAGAACCTTTAGGACCTTACTCGAGAGAAAATATAGTCGGAAGAAAAAAGAAAAAAACGTCAGATGATGGCACAAGCGAACTGTTAACCACATTAAACAAGTGTATTGAAACTCGCAAAAATAAGGACGATATTTTGGAACAAGATGAGGACAGAATGTTCCTGATGTCCCTATTATCATCATTTAGGGCAATTCCGGAGCACAAAAAGTCAGCTGCGAAAATTCAATTAATCAGTGTAATCGAATCATTCCGATCCTCTACTCAAAATAATATATATCCAAACACAATGTGGCGAAATTTTAATGAGTACGAGTATGAGCGTGGTTACTTCACACCGGAGGCCGGGCGTTCAACAGCACCAAGTCAACAATCACGCCCTGAAGCACAACATTATTATACGCTACCAACTTCAACTCCTTCAGAACGGGAACGCCCAGAGTCGCGATTTTCTACTGTCACTTCAAATACCTCGCAAGATTCTGACATTTTGGATCTATTTTGAATATTTCCTTTTGTTGTGCGTTCGTTTATAATATTGATTTCATTAAGTACTTTAAAAAAATACATGTTTTATAATTATTTACCGTATATTTTTAAATTATGTCATCGAAGAGTAGACTTACAGATAGTGCCATCCACGAAGACGCGCCCCACTCTTTGTTCAAATGCATGTGTGCTATCTTCCGCATGTGTTAAACATCTGTCGATACACGCTAATTATCGATGAATGCAAACGCACACTAATAGAAATTGACTAATCAGGAAAGAGTATTATGAACAGCACGAAAGATGCTCTATTTAAATTTAATCGCGCATCTTCGTGGATGGCATTATCTGTAACTCTAAACACACTCCCGGACACATCTATCGGCCCACCTTGAGTTTTAAGTTTTGACTGGAGACCAGCTAAAAATAAATGTTAGGAAGAGCAATAAGTTTTTGCAGGTGTGAAGCTGATTTACTGGCCATCGTTTTCGTAAAAAACTGCATAAAAACTTATTGCACCACTTAACATTTATTTTTAGCTAGGGATTGTCAACACTTTAAACACTAGGTTTGGCCGATAGATGTGTCCGGGAATGTAATGTAAATTGTGTTAAAATCCCGTAAAAAATAAATGTTAGGAATGAATTTTATTTGAATTGTCACTTACCTTAGTGTTATAAAAAGTTTTTCTTCCGGAGAAATACATGGTCGCATATTTGTATCTATGCCAGTTATATGTGGTTTTAGAAGACACAATAAGACATCAAACGAACTCACAGACATTCTTGCATAATTAAAAAATTTACGAGGATATTTTCTAACGTCTTCATAAAATATTTTAAACATTCCCTTTGACCTCCGTTCTTCTAACAAAGGATGCACCCAATACTCTTTTGATTTTTTTTTATTTGTCTTTCTTTTTATAATTAGTAGCGCCGCTACTATTGCAAGTTCTTCAACGTCCATTCTGCACGAATGTACTTGGAATACTGTCGCTCGGCTCGGTCTCCGGGCCCTGTTTCCCATGTTTCGGTCGCCGAGGGACTGAGTCGCCGGCGACTAGTCGACAGTGCGTAATGGCCCTAAGGATTAGTATACCTGGGTAACCAGATATTGCTCGGCGCTAGAAAAAAATTGCAGAGATATTTAAATAGCGTTACATTAAATAGATAAATTTCGAAAGTAAAATATGATCTGAAGACAAAATTTCGTTTGCCTTCGTCGTTTCTGAAAAACCAATTATGTAAATGTAATAATTAATTTACACAATGGAGCCATGCTGCAACTATATTGTTGTACACGCCCCTAGCTGCCCCAACCAAGTCTGACGGGATTAGGGCCCATGAGTAATCCCATCGACGAGCAGCAGAGGGACGGGGCCAGAATATGGCCACTTGGAAATTCCTAATTACTTTAAAATATACGGGGGTTGCGTTATACTACGGCCAGTCGACCGGAAGGAAATTGGATGAAGCTTACTTACCTATCCAAGGCGACTGGTCCCTCCGGAGTCGGTCAGGTCGCATGTGGTTGTGTAGTGCAAGGGAAAGAATGGTGATGTGGTGTGTATCTGGGTGTGACTGATGGTGATTAAACCTAGACCTTGGCCGTCGGCAGCAGCCCGAGCGTCGACACCGCTCCAACTTGAGGGGGCCTTTCGAGGTTATCCACAGTCACTTTCTTCTTTCGTCACGTTGACAGTCAATTAACTCTATCGTACGATTTACTAACTTACAGAAGCCACTAACTATCGCTGGTTATAAGGTTAACACACAAAACGCACACGGAGTTTACAGTTTATTAAAGGTCACTACCGTTTCGCGTCGCAACAGTTAATTCTAGAATATTAGAGGCCGCACTAGCTAATATTGCCTAATGCACTTATGCCGATTCTGAGTCAAACGCAATGAGTCCCTGGGAAGCTCTCCAGCAGGAATGCGCGTCACAATGATAGACCGTATATTTACTGGCTGCGCCGAATTATTCCGAGTTCCCTAACAGAATACAGCGTGCCAATCGTTAGCACCGCTTATGGACGACTGCCCTTGGGCGTTTTACGCACGACCGAATGTCAAATCGGTATAACACTGAGCCGCACGCCCTCTCGCGTTCGTTCCTTGAAAGTGTTTGGCGCGAACAAACCCCCGTCTCGGACATAAGGATTTAGGTCCGCGAGCAAACCGGTCAGCGGGACAAGGTCGCGAAGGCAAGTTGCAAGACCGAATCTACAACCAAACTAGGCCACCTTAGGCACCCCATCAGATCTTGCAACCCTAACCAGCGCCTCAAAAAATAGCCCTAATGTGGCAAGTCGGAGGGTCAGCCTCCACTGGATGCCCTCCTGGGCATCGCAGCACTTTAACAAGTCCTGTACTGGACAGAAGTCCGACGATCTCTTTCAAACACCTATCTGTGCCCCTATGATTAGTTCCGCAATCCCACCGGATCAGCTCTGCAAACAGCGACGCTACACGAAGCTGCCCAGGCAAATTTTGTGCCAGCAGTTGCTTCAGTGCAGAGCGCACCCACAAATTCCACATGAACGTCGTCTGTGGAGAGCCAAACGAAACGCACAGATAGTCCCTAGTATGAATTTTCAACAAGTAGGCCTAGCCAGGCCACCCACCATATTATCATTTACTAAAATAGTGCGGCAGCTGATTTCAATCTGATAATCTCCAAAACTAGCTAGCCTGTTAGGCAAGTAGTCCTATGCTCATATTTCAACTAATTTTTCAAAAGCATCAATGTTCAACTACAGAATTAATTCAACCAAATTAATCACCGATGCGCATAGGTCAACTTGCAAATTACTACTTAACAAAACAATAACGTAAGGGACAGCCCTACTTCTTCGCAAAGCAAAATGATTAAACACTATCATAAACATAAACATAATTTTTCAAATAGTGCGCCATTCAATTTCAGATGAATTCAAATTTTCCTTTCAGCAAACAGACGCAACAATCAAATACAGTGATTAAATATATGTACAAAACACATGCAGTAGCATTTAAAGGAGTAGATCAAATTCAATTCTTCCAATCCAAACCGCTACAAATAGGAAAATTTCGCGGAAAGCCCAAAGCAATTTTTAATTTTAATTCAAGTATTTTTTGAATAAGTGCTCGACCAAACCAAATCTAATACCCCTTGACAGCGTGATTCAACGCTCCAGAGGGGCCCTAATCTTCCCACCACCAAGGGGAGGCCACATGGCGTGAACCCGAGATCGCTAACAGTCGCCACTCGGGTTGTACGCCTTCACTGAGGCCGTCGGCAACAGAACATTTTGACAAGTGGACTGTTGACGGCTTAAGGCTCAGTGGAGGTGGCCGTGGTGGGAGCTAAGGCGGCAGCTAGCCAGGGCCGCCTCCATCAAATGGGGAACAGTGGTACACCAGTCGCGGCCACTCAGCTAACGGGAGTGAGAAGGGTCCAGCGGACCGATGAGTGGCCGTGAAGTTCCTCTCCACACGCTGAGGGGGGGCGATGACACCCCCGCCCCTGGGGGAATTACCCCCAGACCGGTCGGGGGAGGGACCCCTTTCAAACTTAGGGGCCTGATGGCTGGCCGGCGGGCGCCGAGAGTCGCCCGGCAGAGGGCGTGGCTGAGCGCCCCCGCCCGTGGGGGTCGAGGGCCTGGCAGAGCCCCGAGAGGAGACGCCGTTCGCACTCAGGCACAAAACGGCATGATGATTGCCCTGGCAATGCAGACAGGGCCGCCGATGCGGACAGTCTCGCTGTAGGTGTCCTCCCAAACATGAGCAGCACCAGCGGCGCTCCTTGGCGATAGTTCGCCTCGCTGGAACCGGCTTACCTAATAATTTCGGGCACGACGTTACCCGGTGATCAGATGCTCGACAATAGGAGCAGGGGGGGTTGACGACGACTTGCCTGGCGAGTTCAGCCTCTCACTGGGCACGTCTCGTAAGTCGTCAACGGTGCCCGCCGCGTTCTCGATCTGCCGGCACTGCTCCTCCAAAAACCGCAGCAGGTCATAGAAGGGCGGAATATAGGAGGCCTCGTCCCCGCCGTACCTCTCCTCAAAATGGATTCGAAGGTCGAGAGGTAGACGGGACAACACGATGCGGAGCAACAAAAAAGCCCATTCGCCCACTGGTAATTCCAGCCGCCTCAACGTATTACAAGCCACCAAGACTGGATCCAACAGGTCCGGACGCAGTCTGGCCCGGTCACTAAGCAGCGGGAGGCTTAGAAGCTGCTTAACATGTTCGTCCGCAATTCGCCGGACGTTGGCGTATCTTCTGGCTAGGAGGTCCCGAGCTGTCTGGTAGGCGTCGTCCGACAATCTCAAGTGGCCGACGACGCCCAGGGCCTCCCCCTCCAGTGAGGCCAGGAGGTACACCATCTTTTGGCTCGGGGTCAAGTCACACCGGGCGTCCACTAGGCTGTCGAAAAGACCAACGAAGGTCAGCCATTCGGAAAGGACCCCGGAGAACTTTGGCAGGTCCAGAGTTGGGAGTCGTCCCAACAGCTCCGGCTGAAGCTGCTTCAGAGAGGACTCGGACAGGTCACTCATCCGAGCTTCACGCGCCTCCTCGGCATACCTGCCTTCAGCCTCGATCAACTCGTCCGTGAGCCACAAGAACTGCTCATAGTCCGCGAAGCAGGAGTCCAGGACTCCCTTCTCCACATCCGAATCCTCGAGCTCAGCGTAAGCCTCCTCCACTGCGGCCCTTCGAGCATCCACCTGCTCGAACCGCTTCATCAAGTTATGGACCCTATCCGGTCGACCTATCAAAGCATGGGCGCTTGTGGCCCAGCGCAACTCAGTCCGCAGACAACGGATCAGTAGCTTGGGCGATGGCATCACTATTAAATATAAATTACGACGCAGCTTGAGCACAGATTACAAAGATAACAAACAAAAAATACAACAAAAATTAACAGTTAATAAATGCAGTTCCTATCAAATCGCGTTGAATAGAAATTACACAAATACGAATTACTACGTATCAACAAAATACAAGTTAGCACAAAAGAAAAGACACAAATCAAATTAACAAATAACAAATACTAGTGCGATCAAATCAAGTTAAATTCAAATGGCGCAAATACCATTACTACTCTTTAGTTCAAATACAACTTACAGTATAAACGAAGATACACATCACAGTCGATCAACAAAAAATGCCTAGGTCGGAAATCGACCCTTCGATAAGTAATCCACTACAACTATCCGGCAACGATAATTAACCGATTACGTAAAAATAACCATCTACCTACATGACGTATATCTCTAGAAAACTCCCGCTTGCGCAACCTAGGGCGCGGCTTTTCAAATCTACCCACTAACCAAAAAAAGGCAAGCAACAAAGAACAAAGGGAAATAATTCTATTATTACGAAATATTTTTACGTATTACGGACGGGCGTGATTGTAGATACAAATTAAACCAATCAAACCAACGCTCCCTGCCACCAGAATTGTTTAATGTTTATCAAACACTACGGTCGGGATCGACCGGGGAATCGAACCCGGAACCACGCTCTGCTACCAGTATGTACACGCCCCTAGCTGCCCCAACCAAGTCTGACGGGATTAGGGCCCATGAGTAATCCCATCGACGAGCAGCAGAGGGACGGGGCCAGAATATGGCCACTTGGAAACTCCTAATTACTTTAAAATATATGGGGGAGCGTTATACTACGGCCAGTCGACCGGAAGGAAATTGGATGAAGCTTACTTACCTATCCAAGGCGACTGGTCCCTCCGGAGTCGGTCAGGTCGCATGTGGTTGTGTAGTGCAAGGGAAAGAATGGTGATGTGGTGTGTATCTGGGTGTGACTGATGGTGATTAAACCTAGACCTTGGCCGTCGGCAGCAGCCCGAGCGTCGACACCGCTCCGACTTGAGGGGGCCTTTCGAGGTTATCCACAGTCACTTTCTTCTTTCGTCACGTTGACAGTCAATTAACTCTATCGTACGATTTACTAACTTACAGAAGCCACTAACTATCGCTGGTTATAAGGTTAACTCACAAAACGCACACGGAGTTTACAGTTTATTAAAGGTCACTACCGTTTCGCGTCGCAACAGTTAATTCTAGAATATTAGAGGCCGCACTAGCTAATATTGCCTAATGCACTTATGCCGATTCTGAGTCAAACGCAATGAGTCCCTGGGAAGCTCTCCAGCAAGAATGCGCGTCACAATGATAGACCGTATATTTACTGGCCGCGCCGAATTATTCCGAGTTCCCTAACAGAATACAGCGTGCCAATCGTTAGCACCGCTTATGGACGACTGCCCTTGGGCGTTTTACGCACGACCGAATGTCAAACCGGTATGACACTGAGCCGCACGCCCTCTCGCGTTCGTTTCTTGAAAGTGTTTGGCGCGAACAATTGTGATTGCAGATCGGAGTAGGACCACGCTCTCACAGAATACCAGAGTAAAATAGCAGCTTAATGCTGCTGTGTATCGTATGGTGAGTGTAGAGAACCGGAGACCCTTATTACCGGAAACGAGGCATTCCATCTCAGTCCTCAGGGGTGACAACGCATCTGCATTTTAATTCTTAATTTAGGATAAATGGAGATGTCTATGGGCCACATCCACTTACCATCAGGTGGACTGTGTGATCGTTTGTCCCCATTATTCTTCATAAAAAAGTACATATGGCACAAATTTTTTGAACAAGGATGAAAAACGAGTGCAGCGGTCGAGACGACCCATTCCTGCAACCATTACACATATAGCTATATTATAATTACCGCATCAGTGGTGGACTTGGGAAAATTCTTCAAAGATATATTTGATAGCACATTATTTTAAAGGCCTATACATTTCCAATGAAATTATATAGCTTGATGACTCGATGCAATGATATTACATAAGAAAATAAATTCACCATCGTGTGTCTTTTCGTCCGATAATTTTTTTGAATAGAACCTGATGGTAAATGACTACCGCCGCCCATGAACTACTGCAATACCAGAGGAATTGCTGTATTTTGCGAGGTTTTTAGAAAGAAGTAAGGTCTTATCTTGATGGTCCCTAAGTCATATCAGTGCGGAAAAATTGCCACTGGTATATGATTCCACAAAGAGATCGTACGGGGAAGAAATCTCATAATAAAACGTATAGCGGTACATCGCCAAGCATTCAGATGGTGTGGATGTCACAAGTTTTGTGGCGATGTGCGTTCGTGAAATTTAGTAGTTGAAAACAATCCGAACCTTTTCTCAGAGCTAAAATTATGTTATATGCCATATCCCTTCGCAGCGCCAGTGATTTGAGCCGACCGAAGAATTCGGTCGTCGACGATTCGAGCCGCTCCCCATAGATAACCACTGGCATCAATGAAATTGTTAATTGTAATTTTAAGTGCTGATTTACCATGTGATCGGCGGTGAAGGAAAACATCGTAAGGATCTGTCTGAGTCTGAGAAATAAGAAAACTTTTTTTCGAAGATATGTTAAGTTCACCAACACGCATTGGGGCAGCGCGGCGGACACTTTTATGCCCTAATACCCTCTCAGAATTGAGAGGGGGCCAATAATGGAACGTATATAGTCTGTAACTTTTCGGTTTATAATTGGTAAAAAATAAAAAAGAAGATACTTACTCTTCTTTCCAAAAAATTTACAAGTACAACACATGTTAGGCCACCAACCAACAAACATAAAGGAACTAATGATTTTTGAGGATCGATATCAGTTTCCAATTGTGCCAAACTTTTGTCTTGATTGAGAAATATATTGCACCCGCTTAAAATTGTCGTTGTATTTAAGAATAATCCAATTTTAATTTGATCCCTCCATAGTTTATTCCTTACTGCAAAAAAGTAATATGCTTATGAAAGTAAATGTGTCAATTAATTGAATATATTACCTGTATTTTTTTACTATTGTAAGCCTGGGCTACCGTGTAGTGGCGGTGTAAGAATATCCACTACCACATATCAGAGGTGACAGAGGCGAAAAAATTAGGAGACGGGCAGCAGCGTCTCCTTAATAACGACTAAAAATAAAAAATAAACTGCAGTTGCCAACTCGCTTGCCAAGCATCTATGGCTAATATCCCTCCTATGAGGCAATCTATGTATAACAGTGGACTTTAGTAGGCTACAGCTTACGGTACGTTAACGGTAAACCAGTGCTTGCTTGACTACTATCCCACCTGATAGTAAGTGGTGATACAGTCGAAGATAGACATAACAAAAGCTTATTAAAAGGGGAGATTTGGCTTAATCATCACGCTCTGTAGGCGGATTGAACTTTTTTATATAACATGTGTGACAACAGAGCACACAGACCTCCTGATGGCAATTGGATGTTGTGGCTCATACAGATCCATATTTATACTCGATTATGAATCAAAATGCACCCCAGAGGACTAGAGGGAAAGCCTACATTCCACTAAAATGGTCTCCGGTTCTCTACACTCACTATACGAAACACAGCAGCATTGAGCTGCTATTTTACGCTGGTATTCTGTGAGAACGTAGTCCTTCCCTGGTAGAGCCGACCCATTTGTGCTACAACCATAATATAGGTGCACCATGGTCTGCCACGTATGAGATTTTTATTTACAATACCAAACCTCTCGTACATTTGACGCTGCTCCCCGTTTCTGGTAAGGTAAACGAGATGGTTATGCGTCATTACTGCCAGTATTTAAGAAAAAAGGAGGCTCTTTACTTGAAGGTGTCAAGTCATATTTATTAATGTCCTCCAGATTGAATTTCTAACCGTATATTGGCAGTTGACCGTGTAGTGGCTTTGTAAGAATATCCACTATACCATATCGCCCCGTTGCTGTTGCAAAAGTAGACTGGGGAAAACTAAAATAGGAAAGGGGTAGAACAATCCAAAATAATAAAAAAAACTGCGGTTACCAACGATCGGATTGCTTGCCAAGCTCGGCAAATTCTCCCTATAAGGCAATCTACGGAAAAGTCTAATTTTCAGCAGTGGACTTTTATAGGATGTAATGAATGGATGATAAAGTTCGAATTTCGATCACAGTGGCCAACCTTGACGAAAACTAGCCAGGACAGGATTATAATTAATATAATTACTACTAAGGCTGGGTGTTCAAAGCGCATTAGGTATTTACAAGCGGTCGTCGCAAAGATCGAGTCCGGCCACGCATATGATCGTGATTTTTACAAAATAATCACAAGAATATTGTTTCAAAGTTATAAACAAATATTTACACAATGATAAATAAACACACAAACAAAAGCTTAACTATAAAAGTTCCATAAAACTATAGTTATTTACAATTTCTTTTATTTCCTTATATTACTAATATTATTAACTTAGCAGAAGAGAAACGCGCGTGCAAAAATTTGACACAGATCTTATCTTGGTAACATCCCGCAGGACACTGTGGGACACTGGCAAGGTGGCAAGGTGGCAAGCGATGCGCGGATGGAAAATCTTCAAGTGATTAATCGACAATGTTTTTTAATAAATGTAATGAAAACCCAACGATCGGGTGGAATCGATTGCAAAAAGAATTACCTATAAATTGATATTTTTTATAGAAAAAAGGAGTATTTTATTAGTACTTGTTTAAAATTAAATTTGGCTTGTAAAATAACGGCAAATCGAACGTAGTTCGGTAATTTTTTCTATCGAGAAGATTGTAAGGAGAAAAAATGTATCTAAAATTTCTTTTTCAGGTTCTAAATGTAATAATTTGAGTATCAAAAATCAATTTTAAAACGGACAAAAACATGAGCACCCTTCCTTAACAAAAGCTTTTAAAGCTTACCTGGTGTAGTTAAAGGGAATATTATTAGGGCTAATAGCATTGCTAGTATTTTAAGAAAAAAAAACATTTATACTGGATGGGTAAATACTTACGAATCACAAAAATAGACAAATTTCCATTTGATTTAGCCCTTTCACTGTCCTCTTTGAGTTGGCGCATTTCATTCGCTACAGAAGGATCGTCTTGATTTAAACAAAGAAGCTTTGCTACACTGATTTTGGCATCCTGGATAATAGAATTTAAGAAATTTCTTTATAAAAATTGAGGATGATTCTTGTGGCTATCAAGATTAAAAAAAATCTTATACGTGGTAAATCCATACTGCAGCTATATTATGGTTGTGGCATGAATGTGTTGACTCGAATGGGGAAGGACTCTCACAGATTAGTTATTTTGCTGCTTTCTTTTGTATGGTGAATGCAGAGAACTGGAGACCATTATTACTGGAAATCAGGCATTTCATCTTAGCCCTCAAGGGTGATAATGCATCTGAATTTTGATTTGAAATAGAGGATAGATGTAGATATCTATGGGCCGCAGCAACTACTTACCATCAGGTGGAATGTGTGCTCATTTGTCACACTTATCCTATAAAAAAGCTTTTGAAATGAAAGTAAAGCAAAATTACATCTTTTATACGTCACATACTGCTAGGCCCTCCTTTCTAGAGGATTAAGGAGCCTTTGTTCTCGGTTGCTTTAGTGTATAATGGCGGACGTCATAGTCCTTGCAATAGTATATTTCTCATGCGTGCAGCTTTCTTCACGCTGTTTTCATTCACCGCCGAGCGTGTAACCTCATTTTTCATCATCATAGGCGGTAATCAAACTGATCCAAACGTAAATTTCGTGGAACATAAGCATTATTAATTATTTTAGCATATAATTTAATTGCAATTTGAAGTGTCGATGTACTGCGTTCTCAGCGGTGTAAAAAAACCTTCATATCTAAGAAGTTCCACAATTGAGGTGATTCCACGTTAGGATCATCGCAACGAGTTATAGTGTAGAGTAGTTTTTATTGGGCAACTATGTAGTTTTCATTTAATTAATATTTTTGCAAATGTCAATTTTTTGTTTCACTTTTGTAATTATAAGAGCAATTTATAGAATTGATGGTCATGTGGAGGGGGGGGGGAGTGAGGCGTTTGCATTGTGAGATCTATGCAGAACGAGCTGTCCGTACTTAAAGTCTTACAGTAGTAAAAGCTTGGGTTTGAACGTTTCTTTTATTTGAAAGCTGGTGCTTCTCATGTGGTCCCATATTTTAACCAAGGTCTCGCCAATAGTTTTTGAGTTAACCTTAATAATTTATATTGAAGTCGGTTGTACAAAATTTTTTATTTTAAATTATGTTAAATTTGGCACGGAACAGCATTTAATTGTGTTCCTAAATTGAAGCCCACGCGAGCAAAGTCGCGGGTAAAAAGCTAGTGAAATTATAATCTCCTTCTTCCCTTTTATTAATATATAACAGTTCATTACAGTAATCACCAAAGGCCTTATACTTTTGACATTGAACCCTGTCGCTTTTAGTTTTTTAGTTTAGGTTTATAGATGGCATATTCGAGAAGTTATACCGCACAACCGAAATCCATCGTAGGCCGGGTTATTAGTGGTAGAGCCATGCTGCAACTGTCTGATGGTTGTAGCACGAATGGGTTGACTCGACCGGGCAAGGGCTACACTCGCACAGAATATCAGTACAAAATATTAGTTTAATTCCACTTTATTTCGTATGGTGAGTGTGGAGAACCGTTTTTACTGGTCGAATCAAGTAAATACCTCGAAAGGTAGGCAAAGAAACTCTGTCGCAAATCTAAGTATTTCATAGATAGCATATTCGAGAAGTTATACTGCAAAATCGCAATCCATCATAGGCTATGAGATTTTACCTTTCCCATTATCGTCTCTAACCTTGGTTAGAGACGACAAGTCTTTGTGACGAAGCGGGGGATGGATTCTCCTACGCCGCCAAAACACAGTAATTTTTTTTACTCACATGTAGTTTGTCAATCTTCACAAAATAACTTGGACTTTCCGGAATGTAGAACACTGTCACAAGTTCGATTGCAACTAATGCAATCATCAAATACAGCATCGAATCAAATGACAATACCAGCTTCATCGCATTGCCTGCAGAGGTCATTAGCATCATGAGTGAAATTGTCAGTCCCCTAATTCGGTCTGCACTTATTTCCCTCACGTATATTGGTACTATAATAAACAATCCCCCTGTAGATACACCAGCAATTGCAGCCTGAACTATTATTATTCCTGTATCCGTCGAAGAAATCAATAACGGTATGCATATCACCTGAAAATATAAAATTCAATTATAATTAATTAAGTTCAGCTGATCACCTGTTTCTTTTATATGTTTTTATAGAGTAAGGAAAACAAACGAACAATCAGTCTACATGATGGTAGGTGGTAAGTTTCTGATGGTAAATTTAAATAGTGGTACAGTCATACTGCATGCATGCTGCATAGCTGCACTATATAACGGTTGTAACACGAAAAAGTCGGCTCAGTCAAGGAAGGATTACGCTCTTACAGAATTCGAGCGTAAAATAGCAGCTTAATTCTGCTGTGGTTCCTGGTGTGAGTGTGAGACCTTACTTACAATTAGGTGAATTATGTGCTCGTGGCCCATACATATTTATATCTATCCTTGATTTGAATTCAGATGTGTTATCAACCCTGAGAACCAAGATGGAATGCCTCATTTCCAATAAAACTGGTCACTGATTCTCTACACTCACCATACAAAACACAGCGATCGACACGACACATTTGTTCCGAGTCGCTTAGCCTGCGCTACTGCCCTTTAGAGCCTAAGAGCTATGTACCAACCGTCTTAAAGATATAATTTTGGTCACGGCAGCCAGTCTCAACGGAGACAGGCCATCTGCGAAGGACTGGATGTAGTGCCTGAGTGTATGCGATAACTGAGATGCACTCTCTATTTCCTCACTCTCATATTCCGATGGGAGAGATCAGGCACAGGACCAACGTTACGTTACCAACTTTACTAGCTTTTCGAGGCACGGGCGTGTAACATTACCAACTTTCTGAGTCTGGTATGCTACTTAGAATTTTGTGTCTGAAAAACCCAATAACTGACTTTGACTTCAAGGTCATCAATAGCGTTTACGAGCACAAGACTAAAGAGGCAGTCTGGGATGTAATAATAAAATTAGCAGGTGTGACAATCATGAAAACTATTTTTAATTGTAGAAGATGCTCATGTCCACATTGTTTATGGGCTGATATTGATAAAGGACCAACTCTCATCCAAGAAATAGAGAAGGACTTTTTCAGGTATATATTTTAAAAAGAAAGAGTTACGTTCAGTTATATGATGGTGCAGCACGAGTAGGTCGTTTCGACTATGAAAGTACCAAGCTATCACAGAAAACCAGTGAAATATAGCAACTTAATGCTGCTATGTTTCGCCCAGGCATCCTATCTTAGCCCTGAGGAGCTACAACGTACTTAAATTTTGATTCCTAATTAGGAAATAGGTGGAAAGATGTAGACATCTATAAGCCACTTCATCTAGTTACCATCTGGTGAACTGTGTTTTCGTTTGTCACCCTTATCTATTAAAAATTAAATTTGTAGGTCTCATTTCCTGCCAGAATGTTCGTCTGAGAAGGTGGGATTGTCTTCCTATTTTTGTTAGTTAAGCATAAAGGTGTTCACATCTCCTGTTTTGTTCCAGTTTAAAAGAATACGAGGGTCAGTATGATTAACGGTGGCGACGCATTCCACCTAAGTCGTCAATTTTGACAAAGCACTTACGACCTATTTTAATTGATTGAATTTTTATTATAGTTCCACACTTGTCAGGCGGAGCCGCAGTCTTTTATTATTTTTGATTATTTTTTTTATTATTTTGTGAAATTTCTGGAAGGTGCTGTTGCATATCTCTTGTTTTATTTCCCTTTGTCGTTTCTAACAACACCTTCCGAATGACATAAAACTGCGGTTGCCAACAAGGTTTTTATGCTGTGGCAAATAATCTCATATATATGACTTTTGGAGGTAAGGATAGTGATGATGAAGATTATGATGATTAACTATTGAACAATTTCGCTTGATTAGCATATAACATTACGCTAATTAATTTGCGACAAGCACGGTGGCGGTGACGAAATTAGAACTCACCCCTTGTAGTATCACTACTATATAGATGCCAAGTTTTCTTCCATATTTGCTTATTATAAAACAGTGTATTGGAGCAGTGACTATTGAACCGACAATGAAGGCTACTGTACTCCATGGTACATTTAAAGTGCTAATAACGAGTCCTAAGTTTGTAGGTGCGGTTAGAAAATCATTTTCTACTCCATAGGTAAAGAAAGGAAGGCTGGCTGAAAATAATAAACATATTTTTATAAAAAAATTAACTTATAATTATTTTATACGTGGCAGAGCCACGTTGCAATTATATTATGGTTGTAGGCACGAATGGATCGGCTCGACCGGGGAAGGACCACGTTGTTACAGAATACCGGCGTAATATAGTAGCTCAATGCTGCTGTGTTAAGTGTGGTGAGTGTAGAGAGCCGGAGAGCCCTTTTTACTGGAATCGAGGCATTTGATCTTTGTCCTCAGGGTTGACAACGCATTTGCATTTAGATTCTTAATCGAGGATAAATGTAGATGTCTATGAGCCACGGCACCCACTTACCATCAGGTGGACTATGTGCTCGTTTGTCACCCTTATTCTATTAAAAAGTGTGATTAGAAGTATGATTAAAGGCCGATTTTTCAATTCTTAGACGGATAGCGTTTATTCGACAGATACCAAACAATTGGATTTTTCTATTAAAACAAAGTTTCTTTGACGAATAACTTGACTAACTGAGGAATAAATTTATGTGTCCCTCTAATGACCAGTGGTTTTAACCATGTTGATTCTCTTCACTCGTTTCTCAACTTCAAGTCACGTGAAACCCACGTGACTTATTCTTGATTTTATTTTCAATGTATTCTATCAGCGTTAACGATAGTCGAATATTAACTTTTCTGACGCCAGCAGGGTTATACACCAGATATTCATGACAGATGAAGTTAAACAAACTTTTTTTTGATACTATAGCGTAACCGGTATAATAAAAGTTGATGTGATGCAGCTCCATCTAATGTTAATTACAACAAAGTATATAACATAAAAACCTTTAACATTAAAAATACATATATGTTCCAACTTTCATGGTATGCACCAAAAGAAGAGGTTATGATTGAAACTTTGAACCCACCTAAAAAACTGTTAGATCTGGGCCAGATCGCTTACTATGTAGGATTTAAAAACATTTTATCGCTTAGTCAACGTATTAAAAGTCTGTGCAATATTTATTTTCCATGATAAGAGAGATAATATCGAATACGAAACGCAAAAGTAAGTTATCAGAACAACTAACGGTGTTATGAGTTCATTCCATTGTGATTTCATATTGTTGTAGTGTTTCCATATTGAATTACAAAGAAAATAGACGAGCTTAATAAATAAAAGTAACAAAACATATCAACTTAATGGTTTCTTATATTTACGCGAACACTACACATTGAATAAAACTATTTTTTCCGGATTTTGTCGCGTTTAATTTACTATTTTAATTCACGACGTTTCGGGTGCTGTACAGCAACCCATTGTCCAGGGGGGTCTGAGATGTTTGACGTCCCGATGTCACAGTTAGCCCGGCTATCTTCAGTTTTTTAATATTAATTTTTGGTCCGATTTACGAAATTTGATACTTGAGAGTGACCTTTTCGCTTAACATAAAGTAGAAATAGTTTGTCCTAATCTTACTTTTGCTAACGCAATATATTTTTCGTCTGTCATAAGTTAGCGTTTCTACAGTAAATCGGTTGAATTCGTGAGATGAATCTAAATTAAAAATATGCAATTAATCGGTCAAATAATTTTATTAGTTAGATATTTATTACACATTATATTTGACGATTGAGAATTCGACCCGTGTTAACAAATAGCTTTTTGATAGTAAATTTGTTTTGAGTGGAAAATTTAGTAAATGAAATTAAATATTTGGTGCGGTTTAAGTATTTATTTAAATAAATAAATTGCAATATATTTATTGTGATACGATTCCCTTTCATCATCATTAAAAATCTATATAATATATTATATAGTATATATAATATACGTTATATAATATACTAGCTGGCCAGACAGACATTGTTCTGCCCTCTCCAACGATCCTGTGTCCTATAAAAATTCTTAAATTCGTAATAAAAAATATTGAGGGACACTTATAGGGATAAAAACTATCCTATCTCTCAAGTTGGATCAAACTGCACACTGTGTGCAAAATTTCATTGCAATCAATTTAAGTAGTTTAGGAGTTCATCGCGGACAAACAATGTGACAAGTAATTTTTACATATAAAGATTATAAAATAATATATATATTTCATTTGTAAAAATCTGTATATTTTTGACTATTTCTGCTGCCATAAAGCATTGCTTCCGCTGCTATGTTCCGATCCAAATGACTGTTAGTTATTAGACCTCAGAGGTGACAAACTATTTGTAGCCTACTTTATTTGAAGTTGGCTATAGGTGTCTATGGACTGCAGACTGCAGTAGCCACTGACCACCAAGTAGACTGTAAGTTTGTTTGTCACTTCAGATTTATAACTTTGTTTATATGTACATATTTAACAGTAATAATGTTAGGTGACAAAATAGCTATGTATATTATTTATTGACTGCAGTTGTAACTTGTTATACCCTTCCAATTAGATACAATAACGGCTGTCGTTCTATAATTCCTTTATAGTAATTGACGTCAACAAGCTAGATGTATACACAACTAGTTTAAGATACCGTTAAAGTTGAACAATATTGAATGATCAACTATTCAACTATTGGCATCTCCTTAAATGGGTCTTATTATATCTGATTTATTATCAACTTTCATATTGCTTTATATAAACTATAATTTTACACTTTACACTGAAATATTTTTATAAATATTCTAGATGTTTTGTAAATTTATAACAAATATTATAATAAAATTTTGTTAAATGTTTGCTTAAAGTATAGAATATAAGAACGAGATGTACATACCGAAAACTGATATCAAATACTGTTTCCATACAACATGTTTATTATTATTTCCACTAAACGCCCTTTTATTAATGATATTCACCATTGTGTCACACTTTCAAACACGGTCTGTTTTTTTAAATACCATTAAAGCCACTGAATCACGAATATATAATAAATAAATTTTTATCATTGAAACTTAATTCCAAATACCATAATTTGTGTTACACTTTAAAAACAAGGTCTGTTTTCTTGAACACCAATAAAGCTACTGAGTGACGACGATGTCTTTAACTAATAAATAAATTGTTATCATTCAAATTTAATGCCGTATACCATAAACTTTAAGTTTTGTTTTATCTTAAACCTGTCTTGGATACGAAAATAATTATTTGTTTATGGATTCAATGGGTGAATATCATCTCACAAATCAGAAGCGGATTGTAAAACTAAATTAGTCTCCATTTTGGTATTTGAACAGCATTCACATCGTATTGAAGTAACTCGCGTGATAATAAAACTCTTGTTACAAAAACAAACATCACACGAACAGGATCAGCAGGCGAGATCAGTTCGGTCAACACAGTGTACGTGATACACGACGCGTTGATAGTTCGACTGGAGTTTGTGCTCCATTTAGAACGACAAGTAGTATTCCGTATAACAAGGAAATGAATCGTTGAAACTCTACTGTAGGTCTTGTGGGTACGCAATGTCCAATTTTTCTTTAAAAACATATGATTTTTTAAGCAAAAAATTTTTTCATTCATTTGTTGTTATAATCTTCTCATTTGCTGTATTGAAATCACCTACAATTTTAAGGTCAGACTTAATGATTATTAATATATAATATAATACCTTTGCTATTACTTATACCATTACAGCCTATAGTCTATAGTTATTAAATGGGATATTTGCCATAGTTGCCACGCTTGGCAGACTGCAGTTTTTAAGTTTTATCTGTAATATGTTACTGCTCATCTCTTGTTTCTATTTCTCCTATCGTCCATTACGATACTCACAGGATGATAATGAAGAAGTGGATTCTCTTAAGCCTACATAATTTCTATTTTATTTTGATCACTGGAATAAATATCCCACTTGTGTCCTAACCTTATTAATATTTAAGGTAGTGATTTCTGTACTTTGCCACTTTATTCAATTTTATTTTATTGTTCCAATACTTCTCAAAATAAACAGGTTGTGACAAGTCACACAATACACAAAATATTAACAAACATCAACCGTTGGTACACCTAATTTAACTTGCAAATGAACCCGTCTCGATGATAATTTTACTCTTTTGCACCAACGAACACTAAACCAATTAATTTATGATTTATCATTTTATTTTTAATTTAATAGATTTCAAAAGACTCTTACGACACAATTCTAAATTTCACCCATACCATCCTGATGATTATCAGTCCACTACCATGCGTTTTTATGAGAATATTCTGCCACGTTCGACTAGATTATGGAGTTTATACGTGGTAACCTCGCTGCAGCTATATTATGGAGTAGCATAATTAGATTGGCTCGATTGGAGTATGACTACGCTCTTATTGTGCTGTGCTGTATTTCGTATGGTCAGTGTAGATTACCAGAGAAACGAGGTAATGAATCTTAGTGTTCAGGGATGTCAACGTAAGTATGTATGCATTTTGATTTTTTTTTATAGGATAGGGTAACAAACGCGCACACAGTCCACCTGATGGTAAGTGGTTGCTGTGGCCCATAAACATCTACATTTATCCTCGTTTGCGAATCAAAATGCAGATACGTTGTCACCCGTGAGGAATAAGATAGAATGCCTCTTTTCCAGTAAAAAGGGTCTCCGTTTCTCTACACTCACTATACGAAACACAGCAGCATGAAGCTGCTATTTGACGCTGGTATTCTGTGAGAGCGTGGTCCTTTCCCGGTCTAGCCGACCCATTCGTGCTACAACTATACTACTAATATAGCTGCAGCCTGGCTCTACCACGTAAATGTTCCGCAGGTCGTCATTCCATCTAGTTTGGGACCGCCACACGAAAGTGGTTGCCACTCGAGAACTCTTCGAGCTATAAGGTCAACCTATTTCCATTTCAGCTGACTTATCCGTTTTAGTAATTTTATTTACTTCTTAATAGTATAATTGTTTCTACGAAACTAAACAAGGAACAGTACTTAGCTGGTAAGTTAATAAAATAATTAAATATGACGATTGCATTCAATATAATTTAAACACTTTTGTTTATTTTGTATTCTTAACGCAGCTGTAATGTAAAGAATATAAAATTATTCGAATACTACATCCAGTTATAGTCAAGGCAAACGACTCTAATTTATTGTTACATCGTATTGGTTTTGTTGTACTCTTGCAGCCAATAATTGATTTTAACCTTGTTCACCGTCAAATACATTAGTGTTTTAAATTGTACTCAAGGACATGTCACACAGCTGTTTGACGTCTAAAGTCTAAAGTCAGGCTGAGCTAGCTAGTACAAAATTATGATTGGCTCGTTGGTCTCGTGGTCGTAGGCTCGAGCTCACGATCATGGGGTCCGGGATTGAATCCGCTCCAGCGTCATGTGAAAATCAGTTATTGGGTTTGTACTTTCAAGATATCTCAGTAACACCACGGAATCAGGAAGTTTACGCACGTTACTTGGAAAACACGCAAAGATCCTACGTCTGATCCATCTCTGACCGTGTTGAATTGTCGTCACATCGGACTATGAGAGTAAGGGAATAGAAAATGCCGGGTGCATTTCTAATTATTTGCTTTGCACAATACAATTCATTGGGACTAGAGACGCCATGCTGAAATTCGGTCTAGAGGACAATTTTGTTGATGTGTATATGCAACATTTATTAAGCGGCAATTGCTTGTGTAGCTGCCCCAAATTAATATATATATATATATATATATATATATATATATATATATATATATATATATATATATATATATATATATACACACATATATATATATATATATATATATATATATATATATTTTCTATATATATAAAGAGTTATTTTGCAATAACCGGCCAAATTTGCAGATAAGTTTCAGCATAAGTATTATAAGCAAATGCTGAAGAAAAATTAACTAAACAAAATCTCAAACATTCTGTGTTTGCAAAATGCGTGGTTATGCATCATTATTTTAACTAATAGTCTGTCATTCATAAATGTCTAAATTTTACTATTTTACTACGCACGCACACATTCGTAAGGGTCGATCGGTCGGCAGAAACGTTGTGAAATGAATCGCACACAGAGGAGCGCGCGTACTACGCGTAGTTGTTATGTTACCCATAAATCACATTCGATTTGGAATAATTTCAAATAAAAGTAGAAGCTTATTTACTCGTATTTTCAAAAACTGCAATAACGCTATATAATTAATTATATTTTTCAACTGAAGTTTAAATATAAAACTGTATATATACAGCTAACGTATAAGGAATTCTCTTAGAAAAGATTTATTTGAATTCTCCATACCGAATTTCGGTCACGGTGGCCAGTCTAAATAAGACTGGCAGTATATGATTATTTATTTATTTATTTATTTAGGTAATCATACAGCGTTTTCATCATATTTACAATACATATTACTCGTATCATACAGTAAGGCCAATAGAGATTACACAATTTTTATCAACTAATAATTAAGCGTGCGTGTGTGCTTGAGTAAGTGTGCATGCATGTGTCCGTGTGTGTGTGTGTGTGTGTGTGTGTGTGTGTGTGTGTGTGTGTGTGTGTGTGTGTGTGTGCGCGTGTGCGTGTGTGTGTGTGTGTGATTATACCCTATTTTTGTTTACAACAGCGCGTTTGATACGACTCTTGGATAGGTTGAAAATATCCAAGTCAGCGTAACACTTATTATAATTTTGAACAATACGACATAGAGTAGAATTTTTTGTGAAATTTGTGTTTGTTAGTGGTACGTGGAATAATGGTGTATGTCTAGTTCGGTATTTAGGTACTAGTATCGATATTTTAGATAACAGGTCTGGACAATCTATATTACCAGACCATAAACCGTATAGTAAGAACATACCGTGTTGAAGTCTTCTGGTTTCCAAGGTATCTAAGCGGTAAAATATGCAAGCATCTTCGTATGTCGCAAAACTATTGTGATCTTTTGATAAGATAAATTTAATGAACAGTTTTCGAATTGATTCTATTCGATGCTTATGCTTAGCATATTTTGGAGACCAGATTGTATAAGCGCTTTATGAATCCAATTTGCTTGTAGGCTTTGTCAACAATTGTCTATATGCTCATTGAACGTTAATTTTGAGTCCAGCCTGATACCAAATCTCTAACTGATGATACACTCTTTATGGAGTTATTGTTAATTGAATACTTGTAATCTATGAGCTGTTTCTTGCGACTAAAGGTTATTTTGACACATTTTTCACTATTGATAGTAATTCTATTTTTTCTATAATAAGTTTCTAGGTTTTTTAAATCGTTTTGAATCAGAACACAGTCATCAATTGTTTTTATTTTTAGATTTTTTTTTGTCATCTGCGAACATTAAATAGTTTGAGTGATAGAAGCATGTAGTGTTATGCTACTCACGTATCATTTTACATTATTTTAAATTCATTTTTCCATTCTGTTTCGATTTTCTGCATTCACCTCAAAACTGGATATTTTACATCACCTTTATTTCCATAGGATCCTGTAACGATTTTAAACCATAAGAACACAATAACAAATCATTTCTACTTCGTATTTTCACATTATCAGCACTTTTAAATTGGTGTCAATGGAGTCTACCTTTTTTCGATCTTTTAGCTAGTTTTCCGTAACTCTACAATCTTGGACTTTGTGTGGGCAGTTGCGCTACCTTTTTTCCTATATCAATAATATCTCATTTCCACTTAAATCTTATAGTTTTCTTATTATAAACCTAAAACAAAAATTTGACATGTTTTGTCTTTCTTATTTAAATCGTTTCCATGGTAATTATATTCAAATTTGCTACCGATCTATTATTCCTATTTCGATAATTCCACATAAATCCTCTTTTCTCTTGACCATTTACAAAAAATTTGCGTATAATTTAAATAATTTTTCCATTCTCTCTAGAAAGGTATA